TTGTTTGAGCTTGATAATGTATGCTTCTAGTGTAATACACTTCACTAGCTTTGATACTTTATGACTCTAACATGCATTACATGAGTTGTTTGTATGATTTTGAGTCACTTAGCATGTTATTTCAATGCTGAAATATGTGTCATTGCACTCCATTATTTCAATCTTTCATTCACTTTGAAAGTGGTCTTGAGCCCCTTGATGGCTTGGGTCTAATGGTTTTAATCCTCCCTTGGGGATTTCTACTAACCAACAGCATGAAACCTCTTTCATGCTCAAGGCACTTGTGGCTTAGGCCACATTTCTAATTAAATGACTTTTTCACATTGAACTTAACCGGTTAATAAATTAATTGGTAAGCTAAAATGTGTAAACAAGGAATGGACCAAGTAAAACATGTAAAAGATAAGCATGGTTATGTTGCATTGCATGTGTTTGGATCGGACGTTAATCCAAACACAAGAAATGTGGGACGTTTTATACTCATAGTGATGAAACGTCTTGCATTTCTTGGTCGCCAACACCCTTGATCATGCATGATATAGGGTGCAGGCATTTTGTGTATTGTTTGTGCATTCACTAAGCTTGTACAAGCTCGATTTTCGGGCCATCATGCATTGAGATGCTTGATTGGTTTGAGACATGATGAGGAGAGTGGCAGTACATACATTTCCTTGCAAATACATTGTTGTGCCTCTGTTGCTCTCTGTTGCAGCAAAACCAGAAGCCTGGAAAAGAAGGTGGCCGATCGGCCACTTGAGGTAGCCGACCGACCACTTTCACTAGCTGACCGGCCAGTTGAGGTGGCCAACAGTCACTTTTTGTGGCCGACCGACCACCAGTTCAATTTTGTGCAGAAATGATCCTATTTTGGTGCAGAAACAGTGTGGAGTTTGGTTCAATGTTCAGAAACCGAGGCAAGTGCAAACAGAGGCAATTGACGGCAAAGTAATGGATTTTTTGGACGACGCCAACCGAGCATGCATGTCTCCCTCGCTCGCGAGGCCATTTCATTACTTATGATTAGTTTGTGTAATTAATCATTCAATTTGTTTTGTAATATTCTAATTAGCTTAGCATAGCTATTTATTTCAATTTGTGTTGTAATAATTAATTAGGTAGAGTTAGTTAATTAATTGGTTTGTAATAAGTAGCTTAGCTTAGCATGACTTCGTTCTTATTCATTCGGACCCCCTTCACGAGGGCGAAATATTGTAATAAGGGTGCGTGTGTGTGTATGTCTTCCAACCCCACTTCTTTCTCATTTTTTACTTAACTGCTTTCGACAGTTAGTTTTAGGGCATTTTTCAATTAGCATACCTTATGCTTGCATATTTGCATCATTCATTTGTATTGCATGCACCGGGCTCGGCGTATCATTCAAACTGCATTGTATTTCAATACATACTTGAATACGTGTTTCAAAGCATGTTATCAAGTTGCATTTATATGCCATTTTAGATAGCCGAGCCTATTTTAATTGCATTTTTACATGAGTTGCATTAGGCATTTTAACATAGTTAGGAATCATGCATATTTCTAACCATTTTTGTTTTGGCTTGGAGTACACTGTAAGTGTTTACACTTTAGTATCCTTGCATGAGTGTGAGTGTTGCCATGTTAGCATGCTTGCCATGAGGCTATGTGCTTAAGTGACTAACTGCATGAATGCCTGTGGATGAAGGCTTTATTACTTGAATTGGAACAATTCATCAAATGTGAGTTTTAAGTCCACTTTGCGAAGTGACAAATCATTTTTTAAGCCCACTTGAGAGTGGCGAATCCGCGCTTTAGCCTACTTGCGAGTAGCACTTTCAAACCATTTCCAAAAACAAACATGAGTTGTTTTGTTCCAATTCTCATGATCGAGTCTATACTTGTGTGCTGTGTGCATCACATAGTAAGTTAGCTAATAATCGGAATAAGAACACATGAGGTTTATAAAACAACATATCATGTTTAGTAGAGGCCGATCCTTTGATCGAGTGAGTAGGGGTGCTCATTTTAGGACCTTCTCTTCTCGTACCCAAGTTCCCAAGCCGAGGCAACTTTAGTGATAACGGACACGTGGCCTTTGGCACTAGTCAGGGTTTCCTAAATTTTCCAAAATTAAAATATTTAGGTGGCGACTATGTAATCTGGCAAAGCAGTCCATGTTTGGCGTTTTTTTTATTCAAAATCGATTTTCCAAAACCGATTGCCAGATTTGGATTCTTTGGTGATTTGTCAGTCTTACATTGCACTTTGTGAGATTAGATTCAGAACCGTGACAGGAGTCCAAACTGTGGTAGCACGGACCCAATTCGCGCCCTCTCCGAAAGGAGAGGCGCGGCGAGAGAGTTCGGGCGGTCTACAGTTGGCAGATTCTTGGTCTAAAGGTTGGTAATTTGCAAAAGTTTCCATAACTTGTATAAATGGAGGCGGATAGGTGTAGCCAATAAATGCATTAAGGTTCTTTCGAGGCCTACCATCATCTTCCAAAGACTCCTCGTATGCTCGATCAATGTAAGAGAATGTGTGATTGGCCATTGGGGACGTACTAGTCTTTTCGTCTACTTAAAGAATGAAAGTGCAAAGCACAAGGATTTAATGAAGTTCACTACTTCATTATTCAAAAAGCAATTATACTTCCAGAATATACGGAGTCCATGCACGTCCTAGGACGTAGGTAGATTGTACTAGTCCACTAATATCACCAAGTATTGGATATATTAGTGCGGGGGGTAATGTTGGCTGTATAAATTGTAAAAGCCAATAGCAGAGTGACATATGGCACCTAAAGAGCAATTTGGAGAATTAAAGCAAGTCTCCAATCAAGACAGACACGTGGCAGCTCATATTGGTAGTATCGGATCTGCGTGGCATTTGAATAGTCAAAAGGCGCAAGATGACGTAGTCTAATGGTTACCTACAATTCAAATTCAAATTCAAATTCAAATTCAAATTTAAAAGGAAAGCTTAACTGCAAAAGAGGCATATTGAGAACTAGTTGAGCAAAGCCATGACCAGAGATCATGGAAACGTATTTTCACGGTTAGAAGGCTACTTCGATGGTATCACTAAAGAGTATAAATAGCAGAGAGGGCTAAACAGAAGTAGAGGGACTCAGATCCAGAAATCCAGTCATTTACTTCATATTTTCTTTCTAGTTTTTTTACATTTCCAGGTTTTTACATTTCCAACACTTTAATTCATATACTGCACTTCAATTCTTAGGAGTAATTTTTCAGTAGTTTGTTGTTGTGTACCTCGTCGAGGCTGGGTCATTGTAACTTCATTGTGAGTTCTCATTCGCTTAATGAAATTCGATTTCTAAATTATATTTACTTGTTACTATTCATAATTTTCTCCTAAACAAGCTACCAGTAAAAGTCCTCTTCATTGTAGCTGAAAAAATTTCAATACAATCGCTTGATAATTGGTTGGCAATTATAAATTCTGTAAGAACTAATTGATCCTTACTAGCACGTTTAAATTTACACTATTAACCCTTGAAAGCCAAAAAAGCTAACTAAAATCTTACCTGCTTTTTTTTTTTTAAAAAAAATCAAAAATGACAAAAACCATCACTAGGCACATTGATTATTCAGTTCTCACCTTTCTTCTCTATGTCTCTTTCATTATATAAATTATTTGTTTTGATATAAATAATTTTATAATAAAAAATATTGTGTAATATTAAGAGAAAATTACAATTCAATTCACTTCTTAGAAAATAATTATCAATTTATGAAAAAATTTATAATTTCAATTATTAATATTTATAAAATTTATTATCGATTTGCAATTATTTTTTTTTGTACATACAACTGATATGATATTTCCTCTAATATTAATTAGCCTAATTGAAAATATATATTGGTAAATTTGGCAATTCTAACTTTAGCCCTAGTGTTATACTTGAGTTAGGTTTAGCCGTCATTTGACATAAGTTAAACGGGATTTTTTTAGTTAAAATAGTTATAAAAAGATAAAATAAATTTTTATCTTAATAAGATAAAATGTCACATCCAAACTATAATCATTTCATTTTTTATCTCAAAAAAATCAAAAAAACTAAAAGTCTATCCTAAGACCATCTCCAACAGTTCACCGAACCTGGCATCAAATTTGAAAATTGGTGAAAAAATTACTGTTTGGAGCTCTAACGATTTCACCAAATCGGTATCAAATCGAGAATTCACCAAACATTTCACCAAAGTGAGAACGCGCCCAGATTTCAGCAAATTACTGTTTGTTATCGTTGGGGGAGAGGAACCGGTCGATTAGCCGGTTGACCAACCGGTCGACCACTAAAAAGTTCAAACAGTTCAAATTTATAGGTTCAAACAATTCAAAAAAAAATTTGCCTTACCGATCGATCACTAAAGGGTTCAAACAGTTCAAAAAAGGTTCAAACAATTTAAAAATATATATATATATATTTTTTTTTTTTTTTGCCCTTACCGGTCGACCAACCGGTTGTCTCGGCGTAAATTTGATGAAAGTTCACCGTTGAAGCCAGTGGTATCAAATTGAGAAAATTATCATTTTTTTTCTCAGATTTGATGAAAAAAGAAATTCACCACTAGAGATGCTCTAAATAAAACTTTTTAATCCCAAGTCAAAATAATCAAAAAAATTAAAAAATTAAAAAGTCAACCCTCATTCCAAACCTACCCTAGCCAGCTAAATTTGGATTGCAAATTAGACTTAACACTATTTTTTACTTACAATCACTTTTAAACCAATCAATGGGTATTATAACTAAAAAAAATCTAAAATCGCTATAAGTTAATATATATATATATATATTTCAACAATGATTCATCCCACTAAAAACATCACCATTAATAGCACTAATATATTAAAAAAGTAAAAAAAAAAAAAAAACACAACTCCAAAACTAAAACATCACATCATTAATGACGAGATCCACTGCCACCTAATTAGTAGGAGCCTAATTAGTAGGAGCACTAATTAATGTTCCCAAGCAATTTTCTATATATTTACTCTCTTGGAGAGAAAGCATCCTATTGACCCAGGAAAAGAATTAGAAAAATTAAGAAAAGAAAAGAAAAACAATTTCAAGAATTTTGAGGAAGGAGAGAGGGTTTAAGGGTTTAAGAGTCGACCATGGGTGGCCTTTTGTCCACACCTTCAACAAACCCTAGTGATTCCCAAAGTCAACACACCACAGCCATGTCTTCATCCAAATCTTCACCAAAACAAGCAGAGAAAGAAACCCCCGAATCCAAAACCCTAGAACCCCAAACCCCAGTAGAACAAGTCTCAAATCCACCAATGGACGATCCCAAAACCCTAGAAGACCAGGCACCGATCAATACAGAACAAGGAGATCAAGAAGAGGAAGAGGAAGGAGAGGAGGAGGGAGAGTGCGGGTTTTGCCTGTTCATGAAAGGAGGCGGGTGCAGAGACAACTTCATTGCTTGGGAAAAGTGCATCGAAGAGGCTGAGAAGAAGAAGGAAGACATTGTCGACAAGTGTTTCGAGGTCACAGGGGCTTTGAAGAAGTGTATGGAGGCTCATCCTGATTATTATGCTCCGATCTTGAGGGCCGAGAAGGCGGCGGAGGAAGAAGCAGTGAGGGAATTGGAGAAAGAGAAAGCGAAAGAATCGGCTTCGGCATTGTCGTCCTCGGCTGGTTCAGAAGAGCGATCGAGTTCACGGGAAGAGGAGGGAGGAATCGAAAGTTTCAGAGAATAAATGAGGGTTCTTGATTTGGGGGTAATTGTTTGTTTTTCTTTATATGATGATGATGATTTATGGCTGGCTCTGGAGGGAAAAGTACAGAGCTTTTTGGTAGGAATGGTGCAAAATTGAAGGAAATTTTTTTAGGTAATTATGGAAAAATGAAATCTGATGATATTTTTGATATATTTAGAATAAGTTGAATGATATAACTTGAATATATTTATTCACATTGATTTTTCTGGTGAAATTCTTGCTACCAATTTTCTTTCTTTCTTTTATTTTTGAATGGTTTTGAATTAAAAAGCATTTGTGGAAGAATAGATTGATTTTGTTGGATGATTGTAGTGTTATTAGGGGCAAGTAAGAGTTAGTTGGAGATCAAATATGGGAATCTAATTTTGCAGGATCATTAAAATTTAGACTATGGTGGTCCAGAAACTTCTCTGTGAGTGTGTGTGTGAGTGAGAGAGAGATAACAAATAACATAGATTTAAACTATGTTCTTATCACCAAATAGAACTTGCTCCTAAAAACTAGTTTGATAATTGTTTCTCGTTTAACAAACAGGATAGAGTTTGGCAGTGCTCTCATCAGCTCTTAGCTCTCTTTAGTACCCCCTAGTTTTATACTCAATGATTTGATAGAGGTATATACAATCTTCACCTCAGCTTCTATTTTCTTAGACGGTATAAATGCTACACTTTTTCAAGTTAAATTCTCAGTATAAAAATAGAGTATTAGTGATTGAGGAAACAAATCTATCACAAACTTGGACTACTTTGCATTTGTTTCTAGGCAAATTCAGTTCAACTTTGTAGGTAAAGTTTGTGATAGTCACCGATTTTGCTTGAAAACTATACGTTCACAGTTAACCTACTAAATCAAACACTTAAAATTAAATCTTCTCTTTTAAAAAGGGTAATACATGCAAAAAAATCAAAGAAATTTATAGGAAGGAAACAAAAATCTTGCCAGAGCTACTTGGAGGCTGTTGTGGTGTATGCACCAAGGGAGTAACTTTAAATATGAAGTTTTGATTGGGTTTGGTCTTGATGGTGTGTCGGCTGACAGTGAACTTGCTCTGATAGCACAGTTGGGGCTGAAGTTGTTCTTTTTTCTTTTTTTTTCTTTTTGCAAAAAAAAGGAAACCATTTCATGCATTATGCAAACAGAATTGAATCACAATAAATCAAAATTGAATCATAAGATTCACTCAATTTAAGATTCAACTGTACAAATCAAATTTTTTTGATTGGAACTCATATCGAGTCGTATGAATTAAATCGTAAATCATAAGATTCTAACAACCATGCATAGCAATAGTATCTCAGGCTATATGTTTGTGCCATTCCAGTAATTCGGTGTGTCAATTTGCTCTCTTTAGGCTCACCAAGCTTTGATAGATACTGGAAATTGTGGCACACGCAATGCCTATATATAATACATCAAATTAAGTAATTGAAGCAGTTATATGTTGAATGGTTTTGAATATATGGATTTTATAATTTTGTTGTGATGTGACAGTTAAGACAAACAAATGTTTTACCTACATTAAAACAATTATTTTTTATGGATAGGTTTGGAATTAAAAAAAAGCATTACACAACTTCATTTTGTTGTTCACAAGAAATTAGACTTAACACAATTTTTTACTTACAATCTCTTTTAATCCAATCAAATTTGTCTAAGTTTTTGTCAAATATATATATATATACTTTCTTGGAGATAAAAATCCTATTGACCCAGGAAAAGAATTAGAAAAATTAAGAAAAGAAAAGAAAAACAATTCCAAGAATTTTGAGGAAGGAGAGAGAGTTTAAGGATTTTAGAGTCGACCATGGGAGGCCTTTTGTCCACACCTTCAACAAACCCTAGTGATACCCAAAGTCACCACCACCACCACCACCACCACCACCACCACCATGTCTTCATCCAAATCTTCACCAACCCCAAAATCAAAACAAGCAGAGAAAGAAACCCCCGAATCCAAACCCTAGAACCCCAAACCCCAGTAGAATAAGTCCCAAATCCACCAATGGACGATCCCAAAACCCTAGAAAACCAGGCACCAATCAATACAGAACAAGGAGATCAAGAAGAGGAAGAGGAAGGAGAGGAGGAGGGAGAGTGTGGGTTTTGCCTGTTCATGAAAGGAGGCGGGTGCAGAGACAATTTCGTTGCTTGGGAAAAGTGCATCAAAGAGGCTGAGAAGAAGAAGGAAGACATTTTCAACAAGTGTTTTGAGGTCACATGGGCTTTGAAGAAGTGTATGGAGGCTCATCCGGACTATTATGCTCCGATCTTGAGGGCCGAGAAGGCGGCGGAGGAAGAAGCAGTGAGGGAATTGGAGAAAGAGAAAGCGAAAGAATCGGCTTCGGCATTGTCGTCCTCGGCTGGTTCAGAAGAGCGATCGAGTTCACGGGAAGAGGAGGAATCAAAAGTTTCAGAGAATGAATGAGGGTTGTTGATTTGGGGGTAATTGTTTGTTTTTCTTTATATGATGATGATGATTTATGGCTGGCTCTGGAGGGAAAAGTACAGAGCTTTTTGGTAGGAATGACGCAAAATTGAAGGAAATTTTTTAGGTAATTATGGAAAACTGAAATCTGATGACATTTTTGATATATTTAGAATAAGTTGAATGATATAACTTGAATATATTTATTCACATTGATTTTTCTGGTGAAATTCTTGCTACCAATTTTCTTTCTTTCTTTTATTTTTGAATGGTTTTGAATTAAAAAGCATTTGTGGAAGAATAGACTGATTTTGTTGGATGATTATTGTGTTATTAGGGGCAAGTAAGAGTTAGTTGGAGATCTAATATGGGAATCTAATTTTGCAAGATCATTAAAATTTAGACTATGGTGGTCCAGAAACTTCTCTGTGAGTGTGTGTGTGAGTGAGAGAGACCTAACAAATACCATAGATTTAAACTATGATCTTATCACCAAATAGAACTTACCCCTAAAAACTAATTTGATAGTTGTTTCTTGTTTAACAAACAGGATAGAGTTTGGCAGTGCTCTCATCAGCTCTTTGCTCTCTTTAGTACACCCTAGTTTTATACTCAATGATTTGATAGTGGTATATACGATCTTCACCTCGGCTTCTATTTTCTTAGACAGTATAAATGCTACACTTTTTCATGTTAAATTCTTAGTATGAAAATAGAGTATTAGTGATTGAGGAAACAAATCTGTCACAAACTTGGACTACTTTGCAGCTGTTTCTAGGCAATTCTGTTCGACTTTGTAGGTAAAGTCTGTGATAGTCACCGTTTTTGCTTGAAAACTATACGTCTAAAACAAACCACTTAAAATTAAATCTTCCCTTTTAAAAAGGATAATACATGCAAAAAAATTGAAGAATATATAGGATGGAAACAAAAATCTTGCCAGAATTACTCTGGAGGTTGTTGTGGTGTATGCACCAAGAGAGTAGCTTTAAATTTGAAGTTTTGATTGGGTTTGGTCTTGATGGTGTGTAGGCTGACAGTGAACTTGCTCTGATAGCACAGTTAGGCCTGAAGTTGTTGTTGTTGTTGTTTTTTATTTTTTTTGCGAAAAATGTAAACCATTTCATGCACTATGCAAACTGAACTGAATCGCAATAAATCAAGATTGAATCATAAGATTCACTCAATTTAAGATTCAACTACACGAATCAAATCATTTTGATTTTAACTCATATCGAATCGTATGAATTAAATCGTAAATCATAAGATTCTAGCAACCATGCATAGCAATAGCATCTCAGGCTATAGGTTTGTGCCATTCCAGTAATTCGGTGTGTCAATTTGCTCTCTTTAGGCTCACCAAGCTTTAATAGATACTAGAAATTGTGGCACACGGAATGCGTATATATAATACATCAAATTAAGTAATTGAAGCAGTTATATGTTGAATGGTTTTGAATATATGGATTTTATAATTTTGTTGTGAGGTGACAGTTAAGACAAACAAACTTCTTACATACATTAAAACAATTATTTTTTATGGATAGGTTTGGAATTAAAAAAAAGCATTACACAACTTCATTTTGTTGTTCACAAGAAATTGACCTGTCGCCTTTATATAAACAGTATAGATGTTCTGTCATTGAGGAAGTTGAATTCCTGTTGTATCCTATTTTAGTAAGCACAAGACAACATTGGTTTGATATGGTTAATGTTGACGTCTTCATTTTCCCTTAGTTATAGGAACTCAAGGAATTCAATAGTGTTCTTGGGTTATGGTGACCATATCTGCTGGTGTTCCTGACTAGATATTCTTTGTGCATTTGAACTCTTCTCTAATTACATCTGCCTTTTGTTCTCGTCTAAATTATTTTCTACATATTTGGCTAAATATATCACAAACACTAACTAATGTGTTAATATTTACAATTAATTGCTTTGGAAATAAGGTCGTCCTGAAATCATTTCTTATTCCATGAGTAATCAGAAATTTGGACTCTGGAAGTAAAGGAAGAGCCATGAAAGCACCTAGTTTTAAGAATGTTCCTATATTTTCATCTATTTGTATAACCTCTAAAAATATCTTATGCTGTTAAGACAGAGGGAGAAGGAGAAGGAGAGAGCTGAATGGAGAGCACTGTTTTGTGCTTGTGTTTAGGTTAAGCAGGGTTGCTTGGAGTTTTTTAGACATTTACGCTCAGTTTGTTTAAGGGAAAAATATTTTTTGTAGAAAATATTTTCATCCGTTTGATTGCAACTTTGAAACTGATGTGGTAGGTGTGGTGTTAGTGTGATGGAGGTGGTGGCATAGGTGGGGTTGTGGTGGTGGTGGTGGTAGTAGTAGTATTGACGACGATGGTGGTAGGATGGTGGCTGCAGTAGTGGTGCTGATAGTGTGGTGACAATGTGACATTACTAAGATTTTAATCTAAAAAATGTTTTACTTTTTATATGCTAAAATCATTTATGTCCAAATAAGCTTGATTTTTGATCATTTTTGTTTTATGCCATACCAAACAGGAAGAAATGCAAAAGAAAACATTTTTGCTTAAACATACAGATCGTTAGAGTGACGGGTGCTGGTTGCACACCATATGCAACCAACACAAAAGGTGTAAGTGGAAGGTGTGGAAGGTGTGGAAGGTGTAAACATAAAACAGGACAGCAAACAGAAAGGCGTAAGTGTAAGGTGTAAGTTGCACACTTAAAAAAAGTCCTAGAGTGACAAGTGACCCAAAAAGGTGGGGTGGTTGTTTTTTTAAGCTGTGAGTAAACCATGTTTTTTTCTCAGTATGTAGTGGGTCGTGTATTTTGAAAAAAGTATTCTAAAAACGAAGTATATAGTATAGATTGAAACTTGCTGTGGTGTGGACTGGACCATTGATCTACGCTTAGATTTTCAGAATAATTTTCAGATATCGTTTGGCATACAACTTTTTTTAGATTAAAAACTAAAAAGTTATTAAAAAAAATCAAAAAAATTTATAATTCATACCAAAAAATTAAAAATTTTCTTCTCTCTACTTTTTGCATATCTTTTCGTAAAAAATCAAAAAATTATTCTAAACATACTAATTTTTTTAACTCATATTTTAGTAAAAAAAAATTAAAAAATTACTAAAATATCTTATTCTCAAATGAGGCTTTATGTCTGGGTAGGTTACTGTTGATTGCTGGTGAATTAAATAATTTGTGTAAACAGTGAAGTGGCAATGATAAAAACCACTACAAAAGTAGTATCTGTATTTGCTTTTCCACTGCACCACTGGCCTACTTCCAAATTCAGGAGGGCCTAAATGTGACTTTCAAATTGCTGTCTCTTATTAGAGTTTATGGTTGCTTTCCTGTTCTGAGGTAGGACAAGATTTTAGGAAAATCTATTTTCTTAAAAAATATTTTTTATATAATATTTTATAGTAAACAAAATCTTGTAATTTAGTATAAATATTTTAGAATAAGGTTTCTTAATTTGTTTTGATTTTGTTTTGTTAATTTCTTAGGTGTCTTGGTTTCCAAGAATTAGATTAGTCTATTGCTTCTTAATTTTAGATTATTTAGTCTATAAGGTTTAAATTATTATAAATAACTATGTAAGTGTTATGGCAAACGTAACTTTTGTTCAATGTAATTCACTTTCTGTTTGAAAATTTGTTTCTTTCTTGTGGATTTAAGGTGTTCTTCGTCATCTGTTAGAACGATATCTAATATTTTGTGATATATTCCACTGCGTCATGTTCTGTGTTTCTTCTTATCACTGAAGGTGTTGTTGCTCTCTAGTAGCTTTTGATGTCCTCAATTTTGAGATTTATTTAGCAGATGTTTTTTTTTTTTTTGAATTTATACCATTATAAATTTTAATATAGATATAATTTTCCGGTGAAACCTCTCTCTTGAAGCAGTGTCACAGTTTTCATATGAAAAAATCAAAATTCCTTAGTTTGAAATAATTTCACATTCTCTAAACAATAACTAGCGGCATTTAACCCAACTTTCTCTCCTCTCTTCTCTCCTCTCTTCTTCATGTCGTCATCTTCACGGGTCAGATTTTCCCAAACCGGGTACAATTAACCTATACCAGCTAATAGAAAAGGCGACAATGTTACTCATTTTCTTTATTAGTGTTTGATTTGGTAAAGGAAACAAATGTTACTCATTTTCTTTATTAATGTTTGATTTGAGTAATGTTAGGAATTATGAAAAAAAATATCAGAAACGTTTTATGAAAATTTGTCATCTTTTGATTAGTGTGTGACGTTTTATTACATATATAATCCAAGAGTGAAGAACTTTCATAATATTTTTTTCATGATTTCTAACATTACTCTTTTGCTAGTCCTTAAAAAAGAAATTATTGTTACGCATTTTCTTTGCTAGGAGAACTTTAAAAATATTTTTCATAAATATTTTATTATTTAAATACATCTAAGGTGCATCTAAAAATATAAAAAAAAAATTACTTTAAATTTTAAAAATATTCACTAAAAAAAAAAAAAACTTAATTTTCAAAAAATTAAATTCAAGAAATTAAAATCAAACACGCTGATTGTTACTCATTTTCTTTATGAGTGTTTGATTTTGATTTTTCTTATGGCAAATTATTGGCTTGTTATCTTTTTATCTTCTAATTTCCATTTGCATATTGTTTGGGATGATCTAAACAAGTATATTTTTTGACTTTTTATGAAATATGAGTTAGATTTGGGTTAGGTTTGAAGTGATGTGTTAGAAAGGTAATGTGACTTAAATAAGATGATTTGACTTAAACAGGATAGTGACTTTTTGACTTTTTTGAAACTTGCCAAACCAACATGCTTCATGTTGTGTATACACAAATATTTTTAAGACGGTATTTGGATCATAAATTTAGGTACAATTTGAAAAAAAAAATTCCACCTCATTCACTCTTTTTCATTCATTTTTGAAAGGGTACTTACGTGTAAGTTCTAATAAGTGGACTTATTATTTAATATGTTCTATAGGTAAAATTTGTCATAAAAAAG